TATGTTATGGGGAAACGTTTGCACAATGTGATTGAAACGTTATTTTCTTCTCATCAATGTTGAATTCATCTTTCAGCCCCCTTATAATAATCTCAAGCAACTCTAAAGACTTTCATAATCTGGTTTAAGTTTAATTAATTACAATTCAAGTGAAACTCTGTGGGACGAGGGCCGAGAAGCTGGACATTGTAATGTAGTTGCACTGTGATGTAATTATGCTGAACAAGCTGCTTGTGTGGGCTTGTGGTTGAGGTTTTGGATTTGATACATGGACATAATGCTAGATGGTGCGTGTAAGCGCAATCAAGCTTGTGATCAAGTGACAGCAAAGGTTAAGAGTTATAATGGAAAAAAGTTTCATATTAAAGCTGCAATGAAAAGACCAGTGTCTTCAGACTAAAAGATCTGTAGTTTGGGGCAGATCAGATCAGATGTTGTGTAAGTGTTACAGCAGCTTCCAGATTAATGATGAAACATCTCAGACGCATCCGTCAATCAAAACTCTAGATCTTAACAATATACCACATGGCGCTTGGGTCATTAAAACAGAGCCCTCTGCGTTCTTGCAATTGAGAAACAGTCAGGGTTTCCCCTGATTTGCTCCTATCAGCCTTTGCAGGCAAACAAGAGCGTGTGACAGAGCAGCAGTTTAGAGAGTCACACAGAAATGGATGCTGTCCGCAGGTGCTGAGCGAATCCCATCAGCTCATTCACAGGTTGATGAGAGGCCATTTCTGCTCCGCTGGCATTGCCAATGGCTCAAACTGCCTTACACTCATCCAGACCAAACACACACACACACACACACACATCTATATTACTTAGAGGGGACTGTCGCTGGCCAAGAGGGTTTTCACTCATTTTAAATAAACAAGAATCACATACAAAACTTTATTTTAAGGTCTTGTTTTATTGAAAATTTTTTAACACATGCCAAGATGAAGCTCTGAGTGACGTCTACCCATCGCACAGGGGAACATAGTGTGAGTCATGGTGAAACACACAGGCCTTCTCTAAGTGGAAATGTTAAAAGTCTTCACGCATGTCCAACAGGTTCCCTGTTAGTGGGTGTGTAATAACTGTCCCCTCCTAGATAGGTCGGCAAATGCACATGCACACACATACACACAAGCGAGGCTTTATACAGACCCTGATGGGCATTCAGGGTTCAGTTTCACTGAGTATGTTTACATGGACACCAATCCAAGTTTGACCTTGACATTTGGCAAATTTGACTGATATTATGCGAGTCTGACTTTGAAATGATGTCTTTGACCCTGAAAGCATGAACGTTTTGACAGCATTTTTGACACTCGCATAATTACAAAGTCAAACTGCATAATTTCAGTCAACTTTGCATTCAGTTTAGCAAATTAGACTGAAATTATTTACTTTGAATTTATGTGAATTTGACTGAAATTTTGCAAGTTTGACATTGAAATTGTGCAAATTTGACTAAAATTATGCAAATTTGCTGAAAATTATGTCAATATTACTGAAATTATCCGAATTTGACTTTAAAACTATGCAAATTTGACTTTTAAATTATGTGAGTTTGGCTTTAAAATTTTGCCACCAAAATTATGTTTGAATAAAATTAAGCAATTTTGACATCAAAATTATGCAAATTTGCCTGAAATTATGTGAGTTTGACTAAAATTATGCATGTTTGACTTTGACACGATGCAAATTTGACTGAAATATGCAACTTTGCCTAAAATTATGCGAGTTTAACTAAAAATATGTAAATCTGCCTGAAATCAGGCGTGTTTGACTGAAATTAAGCGAGTTTAACTTTGAAATTATGCTAATTTTACTTTTTACAGCCATATCCCACTGCTGCTTCTGTGAAATTGCTCACACACACACACACACACACACACACACACACGTGTGTGTGTGTGTGTGTGTGTGTGTGAGAGAGAGTGAGAGTGAGCAATATCACAGAAGCAGCAGTGGGATATGGCTGTATATCAGCACTGGTGGGAGGTTTGCATTGGCACGAGGCAGCAGGCCGAGTGCCTTAGCATGCCATCAGCTGCCCCAACCCACTGCTGTGATTTTCAGTTTTACGGGACGCTTTCATCTGCTTTCCTCAATGACAAAACTCCAGGGTTAAAATCGAACACTCTGCTGATACGCACAATATGGAGCCTTTTCACATGTGTGTGTTTCTCAGCAGCAGAAGTGATCATAGTCGGTGGACTCAGAGCGCAGTGAATGGGAGAGGACAACAAATCATCATTTACAATCCTATCTGCTGAAATAATGAGGGTAAAGCTCCAGGATGGTGTGATCAAGACTTTCAGAAAGAGGAAAACAATAGTGGGAGACTGATAACGGCAGCCGGAAGAGAGATCCATGTCAGATTTACTGTCCTGCACACCAAACACACCTCAAACAAGCGCTCATTCGTTTGTTTGTTTTTTTTTGTAATTTGATGCAAAGATGATCTAATACACACATAAACACATATACATGATCATACATTCTTTCTCTTTAAATCTTAATTAAATATCTAAAATATTAAAAACTTTCAAAGATGCTGATGACCATCATGTGTCTTGTGGGAAGGGCCCATAAGGAGCGATCTGTTCAGCAAAACTCTGCATCAGTTTAATGACTTCGATGTTTGATGTGTGTGCACTTTAACTGGGACACTACAGTCTTTGAGTTATTTTTTTTCCATCTTAATTCACATGCCATTCATCCTCCTCCATTTCTGGCTGATTTCCAAGCCTGTTCATTGTCAGGATGCTGCTGTAAGCAACTATCTCTCTCTTTTTCTGTCTCTCAGGGTTTGATGGACGCTTAGCTTAAGGGACAATGTATTCAGGCAAAAGGACTGTAGCTGAGGGAATTGCTTATAGTCTGCAGAGACACTGTGGGATCACACATGCATTTGCTATCCAGCTTGCCATGGTGGCTTGGACTTTACCGTTTTTACATGATAAATCCAAGTTACAATAAAGAACCTGATCTCCGCTTGGACCCTGAGGTCCTAGATCAGGTTAAGCAGCCACTGCGTTTGCATTCAGTTAATAAATACTGTAGTGTGCTTTAGTTTTTACGAAAACTGTGTTTCCATAGCAACTATAAAATTACCAACCAATAAATTCTAGTATGTTACTGTAGTATAGTTTGTAAAAAGCTATAATAATATAGTATTTTCTGTAAAATATTATAGTACATTTCATGTCGGATGCTACCATCATGCTAATAGTAGCACTTATATTGTATAAATCCAAGTCATATCCATGAACCCGATCTCCTCTTGGACCCTGAGGTCTTAGATCCGGTTAAGCTGGCACTGTGTTTGCACTCAATTAATAAATACTGTATTACCCTTTAGTGTAGCATAGAATATCCTAAAATTGTAGAAAACAACACAACTGAGTAATTTGTTTATATTAATATAGTTGTTTTGTTGCCATGGCAACTATAAAATCATCACAACCGATTAACTCAAGTACGTTATTATATTATGGTTCAAAAAAGCTATACTAATATATTATTTGCTGTAAATTAATACAGTAAATTTCATGTCGGATGTTACCGTCATGCTAATACTAACACTAATATTGTATAAATCCAAGTAACAGTAAAGAACCTGATCTCCTCTTAGACCCTGAGGTCCTAGATCTGGTTAAGCAGGCACTGCATTTGCATTCAGTTAATAAATATTGTAGTACGCTTTAGTTTTTACCACAGTAAATTGTGGTGTCTAGTAGTTTAATACACCCTATTGTTGTAGAAAACTACAGTACTGGGTAATTTTCCTGCTGAAAAATCCAGCTTAAACCAGCCTAGGATGATTGGCTGGTTTTAGCTGGTTGACCAGGCTGGTTTAAGAGGGGTTTTGGCCACTTCCAGGCTGGTTTCCAGCCATTTCCAGCCTGGTCTTAGCTGGTCAGCCTGGGAGATGACCAGCTAAAACCAGCTTGAGCAGCCTGGAAGCCCAGCTAAAACCAGCTATATCCAGCTTAAACCAGGCTGGACAAGTAGGTTTTAGCTGGTTTTAGCTGGTCATTTTCCAGCCTGACCAGCTAAGACCAGGCTGGAAATGGCTGGAAACCAGGCCGGTCGACCAGCTAAAACCAACCAACCAGCTTGGGCTGGTTTAAGCTGGATTTTTCAGCTTATCTTACTATAGTTGTTAGCAACTATAAAATTACCACAACAGATTAACTTAAGTATGTAACTAAGGCATGCTTCAAAATGCTATAATGCTACAGTATTTTCTGTAAATTACTATAGTACATTTCAAGTCGGATGTTACCATCATGCTAATACTAACAGTAACATTGTATAAATCCAAGTTTCAATAAAGAACCTAATCTCCGCTTGGACCCTGAGGTCCTAGATCTGGATAAGCAAGCACTGCACTCAGTGGACAAATACTGTACTGCGCTTTAGTTTTACTACAGTAAACTGTGGTGAAGTGTAGCATCCTACCCTAGCTACATGCTACACGTGTTAGCCCACATGCTAAAACAAGATAGAAATTGGCTTGAAACATTCTAATTCATGCAATCAACCTAGTCAATACGTTATCTGAACTATAGGTAACTATGATTGCTTATAATGTCTGTCTTATACACAACTAATTTCCTTTCTGAGTTTGACTGTGACAATTCGAAATATGTTAAATAATCCTAATAAATCACAAATCTGCCTTCCGCTCTTACTTTCTACACAAGATTGAACTTATTGCTTGTAAAGCTGGCAGGCGAGGCTTTCTCAAGCATCATAAAAGTTTCAATGAACTTCTATATCTATCTGTAAAGTACAAACCAAAAATATAATGACTACAGTGTACTTTACTCTTCAAAGTTAGGACTGAACAGTGCTAACACTGATAAGAGCCCAAACATGAGCTCAGGACACCATTACGGCTGAACCCTGCGGGGATTCGCTGGCGTGTTTCTAAGTTCAGAAAGCGGATTTCACCAATCAAACAAGACAAATTCGGGACTTAAAATGAGTCTGTTCTGCTCAAGTGGCTCTGGAGTGAAAAAGCAGCCATAAAAAGAGGGAAACAGATGTGGAAGAGCACTTACTTGATGTAGTAGGGCACTTTATTCTGGGACACGGCTCTCTGCCAGGGCAACTGCACTGAAGCTGCGGACACAGAATAAAAGATTGATTAGAGAGGAGACCGGGGGTCCGATCATGACGCTGTTGGTAAATGAAGCATTAATTAACAACATCTCTCTCATATCTGCAGACTCTCGCTCTTTTAATTTCTCCAGACACCAAAGCGTCGCTCCTGAGGTACACACATTTGATGAAATATATCTGCTTTCTCAGCACAATTCGCTGTACGCAGCTCTGCTTTCTGAGTTAATGCCATGAGTTACAGAATCAAAGGCCAAACTCAGAGTTCTGAGTGATGTTTTAAAGTAAAGGCCAGTCTGACACAGCATTCACACTAAACTCTGTGGATCAAAACATAAGAAAAAGGCTAGGGTTTCAACAAGAGTGAATTCAACTAATGTTTATGTATTAATCTTAATCATGGTATTGGATTAACTCAGTGGGTAACACATTACAATAACAGGTTAACACGTTAACATCTTCCGATTAAATTCCAGGTGTTGGTGGCGTGGTGGTTCAGTGGTTAGCACTGTCGCCTTGTAGCAAGAAGGTTGCTGGTTTGAGTCCCGGCTGGGCCAGTTGGTGTTTCTGAGTGGAGTTTGCATGTTCTCCCTGTGTTGGTGTGTGTTTCCTCCAGGTGCTTCGGTTTCCCCAACAGTCCAAACACATGCGCTATAAGGGAATTGATTAACTAATCAACTGGCCGTAGTCTACTGCTGCTGCTGCGTTTACAGAAGATGCGAATAAAGCATTAAGGCCAAGTGATTTACATGTTAAGTCAATACAAAAACGCAAATAGATTTCCTGCAGTATGATATAAGTGAATGAGGTGGCGCAAATGACGCGATTCGCGCAGATGAAGTGCCGCGAGTTGAGTGTTGTGCATGATTGACGTGCTTACTGTGCGTTTTGCACGAATCTAAACTTCGGCGGACTTTCGTGAAGCGTTAACCAATCGTGAGCTTGCGCTTATAGAGGTGTGATTATAACGCAGCGCCTGTTGTTGATGTCCCGGGAAAAAAAATCCTACTGCCAACACCAAACAACAGTTAGAAAGCTTCCATCATCGAGGTACAGTGCACATCTGAAAGGATCTAGTGGACTCAGACACTGCTCCAAGCGAATCAATGCTGTTTTTCAGCCTTCCTAAAGCACATAAACACAGCTATTCTCTCAACAAAATCCATGTTAGCCATTTAGCAATGAAGCTAAAGTCACCGGGCAGACAAAAGTCCCGCCCATGATGCGAATCTGCAAATATCGTGATTTATCCGCATGTGCCGCATCCGCCATGTATCGAATATAAGTGTGTGTGTGTGGCGACGCAGTGGCGCAATGGGTAGCACGTTTGCCTCACAGCAAGAAGGTCGCTGGTTCGAGCCTTGGCTCAGTTGGCGTTTCTGTGTGGAGTTTGCATGTTCCCCCTGCGTTCGCGTGGGTTTCCTCCAGGTGCTCCGGTTTCCCCCACAGTCCAAAGACATGCGCTACAGGTGAATTGGGTAGGCTAAATTGTCCGTAGTGTATGGGTGTGTGTGTGTGTGTGTGTGGATGGATGTTTCCCAGAGATGGGTTGCGGCTGGAAGGGCATCTGCTGCGTAAAAAACTTGCTGGATAAGTTGCCGGTTCATTCCGTTGTGGCAACCCCAGATTAATAAAGGGACTAAGCCGACAAGAAAATAAATGAATGAGTGTGTGTGTGCGTGTGTGTGAATGAGAGTGTATGGGTGTTTCCCAGTACTAGGGTGCGGCTGAAAGGGCATCCGCTGTGTGCAACGTATGCTGGAATAATTGGCGGTTCATTCCGTTGTGGTGACCCCTGATAATTAGGCACTAAGCTGAAGGAAAATGAATGAAATGAACTCCGTGTGAGCTGACAGCCCTAGTTGTAACACATGGACTGAAGTAAGGGGGAAAAAAAACAAGTTCTTATCTGTTGGGTGTCACTGAGGTGAGAGGCAATTTAATGTACTGTTATTGTTTCATCTGGTTATTTCATTTAATCTAATTGGCACATTTTCACTGGCAATAAAGGACACATTAAACGTGATAAACTAAAACGAGAGTGTGTGTGTTAATGGCTGCTCCTGACAGGCCACTGAAACAGAAAATAAGTGGACGATTAACCTCTGAATTATTAAACACAACCGGTTTACCACAGCAGAAGTGTGTGTGTGTGTGTGTGTGTGTGTGTTGTGGTGTCTGATTTTCCACACGGTCTGACTCGGCCTGTTTAATATTTGATGGCTGGCAGTGACTGTCTGCAAGCGAGCGTAAACTTGTGTCAATTAGAGTCAAATAAGTTTTAATTATTTTTGTCCCCTTGATGTGAGCGAACTGGCAAATTTCAGTCACACTGATTACATTAACACCGCACAGGCAATTACACATCTCTGAATATTTCATGAGGATCCAAAAAAAACATTAAATAACAACTAAAACAAGTTGCTCTAAAAGATCCACGGGTTTTACACCTTCACAGAGCTGTTCACAAGGTTTAACAAGCCGAAATATCGACATGTTTATATATTGGTTATATATAAAACAACATGGTTATATATTGGTCAACTAACTACTAGGTAAAACTTTACTAGCTGCTGAGAAACTGCATATAAATATTGATCCTTCATCTAGACCATAACCAAACTAGTACTAATCACTAAACATTCATGCCAGTCGAAACGGTTCTGTTCAGCAGGGATGGCTTCATCTTTGTCTTGCTAACTTTTTAGCCAGTAGAGATAGCATTGACAGGAGTGTGTGTGATATATTCATATGTTTTCTACTGTTAGTCACTTACTGGATAAGAAATGTTGAGAGGAAGGTCCAAAATCCCTGTGTGCTTCCCGCAAGAGCTTCAACCTGTCTTCTACAGCCGCCTGCAGACAGAAACAGACAGCGGGAGAAGGTTGGTCGCTAAACGAAATGTCACAAACAAGCTGGGAAAAATGCATCCAAACAGCCACAGCAGGGAACAAAACGCAGAATATGAAAGACTGTAATGAACGCACACAGTCAGAGTGTGTCTTCCTGCACTCTGGGGGAGTGTTTTAAACAAATCCTGAAGAAAACGCTCGCAATCCTCACATGTAGCACACACACACTCACACACACAACTCTTTCTGAATACAATACCGAGGACAGCATGCACTCTCAGACGCGCAGATGAAAGAAAAAAAAACACTTTCAAATATAATAATAAGTAGAAGTGTTCTTAAAATGGCTTGATCTGAATCACTTATCATACATCAAAGAAATAGAGGATAAACTAAAATGAACGAAAAGCAAAAGGAAACAGACAACCAGTGGGACAGGGAAAAATCAGGAATTGGGAAAAGGAAAAAGGGAAAACAGAAAGAAATCAAAGTCAAATATAAATATATATATATAAATAATAATAAATAAAATGTCATATGAAAAGGAAAGGAAATGAGAGGAGAGGGAGAAGGAGAAGGAAGGGAAAGTAAAGGCAAGACGAGGCGAGGAGAGGTAAGGGAGAAGAAAGGGAAGTGAAGGGAAGATAAAAGTGAGGTGAGGCGAGGAGAAGAGAGGGAAGAGAAGAGAAGAGAAGAGACAAGGCAATGCAAGGCAAGGGTAGGAAAGGAGAGGGAAAGGCAAGGCGATGTGAGGAGAAGAGAGGGAAGGGAGAAGAAAGGGAAGGGAAGGGAAGAGAAAGGTGAGGCGAGGTGAGGAGAGAAGAGAAGAGAAGAGAAGAGAAGAGAAGAGAAAAGAAGAGAAGAGAAGAGAAGTGAAGAAGAGAAGAGAAGAGAAGAGAAGAGAGGCAATGCAAGGCAAGGCGATGCAAGGCAAGGGTAGGAAAGAAGAGGGAAAGGCAAGGCGATGTGAGGATAAGAGAGGGAAGGGAGAAGAAAGGGAAGGGAAGGGAAGAGAAAGGTGAGGTGAGGCGAGGTGAGAAGAGAAGAGAAGAGAAGATAAGAGAAGAGAAGAGAAGAGAAGGAGGAGAGGCAATGCAAGGCAAGGGTAGGAAAGAAGAGGGAAAGGCAAGGCGATGTGAGGAGAGTAGAGGCAAGCCTAGCCAAAGACTAAGAAAGGTAAGGCAATGCTAGGCCAGGCTTGGCAAGGCAAGGCAAGGCAAGAAAAGGAAAGGAGATGTGAGGAGAGTAGAGGCGAGGCGAGCCTAGCTGAAGGAAAGGCAAGGCAAGTAAAGAACAAAAAGGTAAGACATGGAAATAAAGGCGAGGGGAGGGGAGGGGAGGAGAGGAGAGGCGAGGTGAAGCGAAGCAAGGCAAGGCAAGGCAAGGCAAGGCAAGGCAAGGCAAGGCAAGAAAAGCAAAAGCCTAATCAGGCAAGTAAGCAGCATCAAAAGTTTAGAGAATGAAAGATGGAGGACAGGAAAAGCTAAATGACATGAACGGGTACAGAAAAGGAAAAGAGCAAAAAGAACGAATAAAAGATGGAATAAAAAAAGTGCATTATGGGGAAATAAGCTGGAGAAGGCAGAGGACCTGCAGGAGTTTCCAGCGCATGTTGAGGTTGTCCAGCTGACGGTTAGTGGTGGAGGACAGCTGGACATCCAGTGGGGTAAGCTGAGCGGCCAGATCATTCACAGCTCCAACATCCTTCTTCAGAGGAGACACTTCCTCCCGAAACGCCTGAACACACACACACACACATACACACACACACACGCACGCACGCACACGCACGCATGCATTAGCATCTTTATCTCTGCATATCGCCCCAACACAAAGCTGAATAAATTATCAGCCGGCGTGTTTGGAAATGACTCACAGCACACGTGTGAGAATGACACTGCGGGATAAAACTGTAAAAATAGCTTCAGGCAGGAAAATGATTAACTACAATAATCCTTAAAAGAGCCGGTGACTTGATTCACCCTCTCCAATGTTCATCCAACACCCAATAAATGATGCTTCCTTTACGTTACACAGTGTTTTGCTGACTTGTCTATTTCATTATCACCATTTTTTTTGTAAGAATGTAGAAATCCAGAGATATAATGAATTTTAACCAGTGAGACGGAGCATGTGTCTGTTCATGCCAGAGACATAATGGTAAACACATCCATCAAGGGCATGTTTACATTGAAAAACAATACAAAAGTAGAGCGCTGAAAATGTATTCGGTGTGAACAACCCCTAATGGACCATTTTCATATTCTCCGCAGCAGAAGTGATCATAGTTGGTAAACTCAGAACGTAGTGAATAGGAGAGGTCAACAAATCCTTATTTACAATCCTAATAGCCGCAATAATGAGAGAATTACTCCAGGATGGTGTGATCAAGACTTTCAGAAAGAGAAAAACAATAGTGTGAGACTGATAACGGCAGCCGGAAGAGAGAACCATGTCAGATTTACTGTCCTGCACACCATACACACTGCATTACACACCTCACACAAGCGCTCATTCGTCTTCTATGTAATTTAATGTAAAGATGATCTAATACACACATAAATAGAAATATTTATAAGTTTTATTTTGTATCTAAATATTAAAAACTTTCAAGGATTTAAGTTACTAATACCCGATAAATGCTTACCGTGGTTTTATCGATGTGGTCCTGTAGGGAGTCTATGAGCAGGTCTCCCACTGGCTGCCATCCCGCCTTCAGCTCCTCGGCCTGGGCCAGACGCAGGTCCAGCTGGTCCATGGAGCTCTGGAGGTCCTGCAGTTTGTCTAGCGCCCGCTCTACCTGCTCCTGCCAGGTCCCCGCGTGTCCCGTGAGCCGGTCCCAGCGCTCACACACCTCCGCCGTCTGCTTGCGGATCGCCTTCGCCACCCGCTGGGCCTTCTCCTCCGGGGTCAACTCTAGCAAAACAAACACACAGGGAAAGACCTCAGTGACGTTCATTTGGCTGAGTCTGAGGCCTCGTTTACACTAGTGCATTTTAGTTTTAAAACGGCGTTTTGGATCAAAACGACCACACTAGCATTTCTAAACATATCTCCATCCACACTACGCCACCAAAAACGTATATCACGTGACCATTCGCGCACTCTGGGCATGCGCGTTCTAGTATAAACAGGAAGCATGCGTCTCGCTCGGCATTTGGTTATTGTTAGTCAACAAACGCCGGTTGAACAATGAACGCGATGGCAAAGAAAGCAAGAGAGGTATTTTTGTGGACAGACGACGAGGTTGAAACGTTACTAAACGTAACAAATGAATAACTGCACAATGGAGCGTAAAACAGACAATAGTGCAAACAACGCTTCCATTTCTGTGTCCATGTTGTTGTTTACAGTGAAGGCTGGTCTGCTGTCTTCCGGTAGCGTTAAAGCCATGTGTTATAGTCATGTGATAGGGGCTTCACCAATAGGGGAAGGATACGCAATGACACAAAAGCCCCAATCAGCTAGCGAATCTCAGCAGCCCCGCCTCCGTTTTCAGATGTCTCCGTTTTCCCTCATCCACACTGAGACGCAGCAGCAGCGCTTCAGAATGAAAACAGCCTCTCCATCGTTTCCAAAACGCTCCGTTTTCAGCGCTCGAAAACTCCGGCGTAGTGTGGACGGATGGCGTAACCGTAGCAAAACTTATGCGTTTTCAAACTAAAATGCATTAGTGTAAACGGGGCCTGAGTCAACTTTTCAGGCTTCTAAAAAATAAATAAAAAACAACACCAGAATAACGTAAACAGCCTGTTTTTATCTCCTATTTATCAACACGACCACAATTTGACTTTCAGCTTTTCCACTTCACAAGCGTCCGTGTTGATCAGATGAGCCCGGCGCAGGTCACTTCAGAGTGTGTTTACTGAAGAGTCCACTCGACTAATGAGCTGAAGAGAGAGAGAGACGGCACACAGATGTTTGGTCAATTTAGGGAAAGCCTCGGGCATGACTGCAGGCAGCTCCGCAGCATTACCATCTGCCTTCTCTCAGGCTTTCAGAGGACACTTCAGCTAATGTCAGCGCCGCAAACGGCACCAATGATTTCTCCATTTGTCTGAACGCTCACCTCTATGCTTCATCTTTATATTTCTGCTTCAGCCAAGCGAGAATCAATTTACAATTCAAATGCGCTCAAGCGTTTCTGGAGGAGTCTGAAATTCAATTAAGATCCAGCGGTTGAACGTGGAAATGGAAGTGACGCTTCCTCTCGCACCGGCTTGTTTACGCTCGCTCGATGACAGAACAGACGGAGTTACACATTTAAAACACACAGCTGAACTGGAGAACATGAGTTTGTGCGAGTGTTTGATTGCATCTCTGTAAGCGGTGTGTGTGTGTGTATGTGTGTGTGTGTGTGTGTGTTTGTGTGTGTGTGTGAGTGTGAGCATTTGTGTGTGTGTGTGTGTGCAGTATATGTGTGTTTCTTTGTGAGTATGCGAGTGTGTGTATGTGTGTGTGTGTGTGTGACTTTGTGTGTGTATGCGTTTATATGTGTGTATGGGTGTGTGTGCTTGTGTATGCATATGTGTGTGTATATATGTGAGTGCGTGCATTTGTGTATGTGTGTGTGTGTGTGTGTGTTTGTGTGTGTGTGTGTGTTTGTGTGTGTATGTGTGTGTGTGTGTGTGTGTGTGTGTGTGTGTGTGTTTGTGTGTGTGTGTGTGCAATCCGTACATTTGTGTGTGTGTATTTGCACGTGTGTGTGTGCGTGTTTGAGTTTGTGTTCATGGATGTATGCTTGTGTGTGTTTATGTGCATGTGTTTGTGCTTGTGTGTATTTCTGCGTGCATGTGTGTGCGTGTGCATTTGTGTGCATGTTTCTTTGTGTGTATGCTGGTGTGTGCGTGTTTGTGTATGTATGTGTGTGTGTGTGTTTATGTATGTGTGTGTTTGTGCGCTTGTGTGTATTTCAATGTGCATTTTTGTGTGTGCGTGTGTGTTTGTTTGCATTTGTGTGTTTCTTTGTGTGTATGCAGGTGTGTGCGTGTTTGTGTATGTATGTATGTATGTGTGTGTGTGTGTGTGGGGGGGGGGGGGGGTGTTTGTTTATGTGATTCTGTGTGTTTTGGTGTGTGTGTATGTAGGAGTGCGTGC